CTGACATGAAGCTGAGTGGGCGGAGTCAGCAACAACATATATTATAGACACCTAAAAACCTGAGCATCAGTTTGAGTGGACGATATATTGAGAATATTTTCACTGCTTTACTTTAATGTAACAACAGGAAAATGAAGCCGTTCTCTTCAGGCCTCCATCAGTCAGTGTGTTTGTGTCACTGAGTGACTTTGGTGTTTAAAGGGTTAATTCAGATTCACTTAAGTCACTCAGTGACACAAACACACTGACTGATGGAGGCAGCAGTCGACCAGCAGCTCCTGAGTTCACTCGTGTTAAATCACTGCTTTTATCTGTGGAGTCTGGTCCTGAAAATATTCTCAATATATCGTCCACTCAAACTGATGCTCAGGTTTTTAGGTGTCTATAATATATGTTGTTGCTGACTCCGCCCACTCAGCACATCACTGAGCTTCATGTCAGACTCCACCTGCTGACTGACTCCGCCCACTCAGCACATCACTGAGCTTCATGTCAGACTCCACCTGCTGACTGACTCCGCCCACTCAGCACATCACTGAGCTTCATGTCAGACTCCACCTGCTGACTGACTCCGCCCACTCAGCACATCACTGAGCTTCATGTCAGACTCCACCTGCTGACTGACTCCGCCCACTCAGCACATCACTGAGCTTCATGTCAGACTCCACCTGCTGACTGACTCCGCCCACTCAGCACATCACTGAGCTTCATGTCAGACTCCACCTGCTGACTGACTCCGCCCACTCAGCACATCACTGAGCTTCATGTCAGACTCCACCTGCTGACTGACTCCGCCCACTCAGCACATCACTGAGCTTCATGTCAGACTCCACCTGCTGACTGACTCCGCCCACTCAGCACATCACTGAGCTTCATGTCAGACTCCACCTGCTGACTGACTCTACTGTAGGAAACACTCTGACGTCACACAGCCTCACGTTACAACACCTCAACTGTCCCTCTGAAGACGTGTTTCTATGACAACAGTTGGTTGATGGTTGTATGAGGACCTGATGAAGCTGATGATGGTCTTCCTCTCGTTTTCTTCAGGTGACAGAGTGTCAGTCTCTGTCCCTGTCGTGGGATTGGCCACTCAATCTTCCTCCTCCCTCCTCCTCCTCACATGAGGAGTTCTTCGAAGGACACCTGCTCAAAGTCCTGTTTGACCGACTGGGACGAGTCCTGGAGCAGGTACACACTCACCTGTCCATCTGTCTGTCTCACACCTGTCTGTCTGTCTCACACCTGTCTGTCCTGAGTGATAGCTCACCTGTCCACCTGTGTTGTGTCTCCAGCCGTACGAGTTGAACCTCCAGCTGACAGCAGTTCTGTCCAGACTGTCGTCCTTCAGCCACCCTCTGCTGCACGAGTACCTGCTGGACCCCTACGTCCACCTGTCCCCCTGCTGCAGGTCCCTGTTCTCTGTCCTCATCAGGGTGAGAAACACACACGAACCTGTCTCACTGCTCTGACATCAGCCTGTCTCTGCCCTTTACTGTCCAACTGTAATAGGTACAAAGGTTCAGTCTGCTCATCTGATATTTATCTGTCTGTCTGTCTGTGTCTCAGCTGATGGGGGAGTTGATGCAGAGGATCCAGCAGGTGTCCAACCTGACAGACAGACTGTTAAACACCAGAAGACTCCTGCTGGGACTGAACCAAAACACTGGGTCAGTACCTGTCTGTCTGTCTGTGTGTCTCAGCTGCGCTCATCTGTGCTCACCTGTCCTCACCTGTGTGTCCTCAGCCTGGAGCACCTGACCCTGCTGAAAGGACTCATCATCCTGGAGGAGTTCTGTAAGGAGCTCGCTGCCATCGCCTTCGTCAAACTGCCCCTGGACCAGCAGTGACTCACCTGAGGACAGGTACACCTGGGACATGTAAGCTTCACGCTGAGGACAGGTACACCTGTATGAGCTGGGACAGGTAAATCTGCTGCTCCACCTGGACTCAACACGTGAACCTTACAGCCGCTGTTTCCGAGGCAACCCTGAACGTCTCATTGTCTCCGCCTTAATGAACTGTCTCACCTGAATCTATAGTTCGACCTCACAGTGACATCACAGCCTGCTCTCAGGACAGTTTTATCTATTTATTATAGTTTTAATTTTTATTCTGATCCAGAGAAACGAGTCTGATTGATTTATCAGATAAAAAAACAGTCAGCTGATTGGATAATAAGTGGGAGTGATGTCATCAGAGACAAGCTGTGATCAGTACCTCCACATCAGACTGGTGTCTCTTCAGAGCTCCCAGTGTTCCCAGTACAGCTGGAGACCACATGAAGACTCAGACGTCGATTAGAACCAGTTCACTGACCCGTCTGAAGGAGCTGCAATCAGACCTGACCGTCCGTCAGACACGTTGGAAACCTCGACTCAGACACTGGTTCCTGAACATTCCTGTTTTTAACCAATCAGATGAGATCAGTTTTAACTTAAGAACCATCAAACGTTACGCTACGACATTTTAATTTTTACTCTCAGATCAGTTTGATAACATAAGAAATAAGGTGTTTCCTGATGACACCAGTTTCAGGTTAGAGGAATGTTTCAGTCGCTGTGTGTCACCGTCAGGCTCTCTGAGGCCTCAAACACAACCTGATTGATTGATTGATTGATTGATTGATTGATTGATAAACGTGGACCTGATCAGTCAACACCGATATTTCACATCACTGACTCTGCTGACGTCACAGGAACAGCTGGTTCACTGTGAATCAATAACTCATTTCCTTCAGTCGTGTGATTATTGAAGGTGTGGCCTGGAGCCAGGTGAGAGCTCAGTGGTCACCTGTGGTCACATGATCAGGATGGTCCCACCTCCGCCTCCTCATAGCTCGGTACGAACCTGCTGCGTGCTGATTGGCTCTCTGACGCTGGTCAGATTCACCTTCAGGACGACTCGTTTGTTACAACACTACTGACTCACTGACGCTTCACTGTGAACAAACTTTATTTACATACAGTTTTTATCCCAAAGAATGAGTGTGACCTCACTGATGATGTCTCAACCTCAGTGATGATGTCACAACCATGAGTGTGACCTCGGCACAGTGCATCATGTTCTGTGTTGGTCTCAGCTGTGAAACACTGACACAGAAAATATTTATATTCACTTTAAGTTTAAAATGTGAAAAAAACCTGTAATAAAAGGTCAAAGAGAACGAATGAGATGTGATGTCATCATTTAAAAAGTTTAAAATCTTTAAAAACTGGAGTTTAAATAAAGTTCTGAGAGTTTGAATAAAATGACAGGAAGAAGATAATTTATAAAGCTGCAGCTGAACTTTTTGTTTCACTCTCAGATCAGCTGATTGTTGACAGATATTGATTAAAGTTATTGATTGTCTCTGACTGATTGATTTACAGCTGACGTTTCAGGTTTGACTCTTTTTCACAGGTTTGGTTTGAACAGCAGAATAAAGTGGTGATGATGTCATCAGTTACGTTTCATGTTTCTAAAGTTTGATTTGGACAAACTGACTTTATTTATTTTGATCCTCCCTGAGAGACAGAAGACAGGTCTGTCCTCAGTGTCTCCTCCTGATCAACTGTGAGGGTCCAAAGGACAGAGGGACAGGAGGACAGTGGACAGAGGGACAGGAGGACAGGACAGAAAGACAGGAGGACAGTGGACAGAGGAACAGGAGGACAGGACAGAGGGACAGGAGGACAGAGGGACAGGAGGACAGTGGACAGAGGGACAGGAGGACAGTGGACAGGAGGACAGTGGACAGAGGAACAAGAGGACAGGACAGAGGGACAGGAGGATAGTAGACAGGACAGAGGGACAGGAGGACAGTGGACAGAGGAACAGGAGGACAGTGGACAGGAGGACAGAGGGACAGGAGGACAGTGGACAGAGGGACAGGAGGACAGTGGACAGGAGGACAGAGGGACAGAAGGACAGAGCGATGTTGTCCTCTGCTGTAAAGTCTCTGAGACAAATTGATCTGTGATTTTGGGCTTTATGAATAAAATTGGTTTAAAAATTGAAAATTAAAAAAAAAAAAAAAAAGTATTCAAAGAGAAATGTCCTCCAAACGTCCTCAGGCCTGGAGACATGTTGTCTTCAAAGACAGACTATAAAACACAGCCATGTTAGGCCCAATTCCAATCCGATCTCTTACAGACTCACTGACTTAGAGACGCGTTCATGTGAAGTGCGTGAGTGTGTGAGGGCTGTCCCATTGTCAAATCGTCAAGTCAGTGAGTCAGTGAGTGAGCCCTTTATGCCCCCTTACCGTAGGTCAGCATTGATGCGGACTTATGTAAGGAAATTACCCACAGTTCATAGCGTTGTGATGTCAAATACAGGGGTTGCCCCTGGAACACCAGAAGTGTTATAAAAAAAACGAAAACACGGTCGGCAGATATGCAAACGGTAACGTTATGGAAGGAGAGCGAAAAACCAGATAGATAAACAATGAAACATTATATTAACAAGGATTTAAGATGGTACATAAACAAACATGAAGTCAGAGGAATACCAGTGGTTATATTCCACACACAAAGAACAGCCTATATATCTATATCTATATATATATATATATATATAGATATATATAGATAGATAGATAGATAGATAGATATTCTTTGTGTGTGGAATATATGATGACAATAACTGATAAATGATCACGCCCAGAGCCGCCAGTGTCAACAACATTTTGTAGAGAGGGATAAGTGCTGTCCCATTCCTATTTGTAGCTTCCGGAGCCCTTTCAGACTCTCGCACTCAATCACTTACAGCTGACGTCAGTTAAGTCAGTGAGGGTTCAGGGCTTGAGTCAGTCTCTGTGACTGAGGTGAGTCTGGTGATGGTGACGTCAGCTGAAAGTGTCTGTGAGGATGTGACGTGATTGTTTGTTATCAATAATAAAAACATGATGTTTACATGTGTCAATAAAAACAAACTGTTTTATATGTCAATGAAATAATGACCTCATCTGTGTGTACCAGTGCTGCAGCTCCGGGCTTTTATTGTGAAGGTCCCTACCGGAAGTGTGTGTGTTGGTGTGTGTGGGCTGGTTCCTCCCTGCAGTGGAGGAGAGAGGAGGAGGAGAGCGGAGCTGAAGGTCACAGCTGGAGCATCATCTTCATCCTCCTCATCACCATCACGACACTGATTTCCGATCGTTTATCGATCAGCTGATCGGATCCTTCCGCTGCAGGAGGAGCGCGTGATGACGTGAGACAGGAGGAGGACGGAGCGACAGACGGATCAGCTGCTGCATCCCTGCGTGTCTCTGCATCCTGTCTGTCTGCCTGTCTGTCTGACCGACTGAGGGACTGACTGTCCTCCACCTGCCTGTCTCTGTCCCTGTGTCTCCACCTGTCCCTGTGTCTCCACCTGTCCCTCCATCATGGGGAACCGGGGGATGGAGGAGCTCATCCCGCTGGTGAACCGGCTCCAGGACGCCTTCGCCTCCATCGGGCAGAACTCGAACCTGGACCTGCCGCAGATCGCGGTGGTGGGCGGGCAGAGCGCCGGGAAGAGCTCCGTGCTGGAGAACTTCGTGGGCAAGTGAGTCTGTCTGTCTGCCTGTCTGTCTGTCTGCCTGTCTTACTGACTGACTGGGCCGAACCGGGCCTCCTGCTCCCGGTGTCAGAGAGTGTTAAAGCCGCTGACAGAGGGAGCCGCCCGGCGGACTGAAGGCCTGAGACCCGCTGGATACAGAGGCTGAGAGATTAGATCATATATCAGATATCATGTCATACACATGAATGTCATATATTAGAGAATATGAAATATGTAGAATGTCTCAGGTCTTTAAAATAATATATACATGTTAATAATTATAATATAAATAATAATAATCCAATGGTTGTGTTTTCTTTCATCAGCTGACAATGCGAATGTTGTATTTTTGAATCCTTAGAGTGAGATGTTAATATCTACACAACAAGTAGGTTCTATTATTATTATAATGATTATTATTTATTGTTGTTATTTATGACTCATTGTATTTTGTGTTTGGTGTTCTGTTTAGAAAAGTTGTTCAAAGATGAAGATTTGAAGACTTCCTTTACAAAAACAGATACAAATCTTAAAATCAATAAACGGTCAGTTTGATTAATTCTGAATTCAAATTTTAAAAAAAAAAACATGATTTGGGAAAATAAATAAAAACAGATTTTGTTTTTGCAAATGAATCGTCATATGATGGTAAACAATGAATAAAGAAGGCGGTCAGAGAGATAATAATGATAATAATAATAGAAACTTTGTTTATAACCTTCTACACCACAGTAACAGAGGGTTTGACAGGCTAAATTATGATGTAAGAAAAATCATCAGAATAATTACAACAAAGACGTCTCTTAAAGTGACAGTCTGCAGATTTACATCCAGCTCAGTGTCAGAACTACAAATGCAGGATAATATCAGCACATTATCGATATGGGCTGATATGGTTTTTCTTATTCTGCACAATGAATGAATATTACAGACCCTGAGCAGTGTTTCATGTCTCAGTCATTATAAGAGTCTTTATGTATAACATGATGTTAGTTCCACTACAGCAGAGACCTGATGATCACTGACATTAGGAGGGAAAAAATCATATATTGGTATCGGTTATTGGTCAAATGAGTTGTTATATGTCTGCAAAATATCCAATATCAGTCATCGCTGATTAGAACAGTCTGAATAAACTGTGGTAAATCCATTTCCTCAGTCTGCAGGTACAGTCAGACTCTGGGCAGGTGGTCAGGTACACTCAGACTCTGGGCAGGTGGTCAGGTACAGTCAGACTCTGGGCAGGTGGTCAGGTACACTCAGACTCTGGGCAGGTGGTCAGGTACAGTGTCAGACTCTGGGCAGGTGGTCAGGTACAGTCAGACTCTGGGCAGGTGGTCAGGTACACTCAGACTCTGGGCAGGTGGTCAGGTACAGTCAGACTCTGGGCAGGTGGTCAGGTACACTCAGACTCTGGGCAGGTGGTCAGGTACAGTCAGACTCTGGGCAGGTGGTCAGGTACAGTCAGACTCTGGGCAGGTGGTCAGGTACAGTCAGACTCTGGGCAGGTGGTCAGGTACAGTCAGACTCTGGGCAGGTGGTCAGGTACAGTCAGACTCTGGGCAGGTGGTCAGGTACAGTCAGACTCTGGGCAGGTGGTCAGGTACAGTCAGACTCTGGGCAGGTGGTCAGGTACAGTCAGACTCTGGGCAGGTGGTCAGGTACAGTCAGACTCTGGGCAGGTGGTCAGGTACAGTCAGACTCTGGGCAGGTGGTCAGGTACAGTCAGACTCTGGGCAGGTGGTCAGGTACAGTCAGACTCTGGGCAGGTGGTCAGGTACAGTCAGACTCTGGGCAGGTGGTCAGGTACAGTCAGACTCTGGGCAGGTGGTCAGGTACAGTCAGACTCTGGGCAGGTGGTCAGGTACAGTCAGACTCTGGGCAGGTGGTCAGGTACAGTCAGACTCTGGGCAGGTGGTCAGGTACAGTCAGACTCTGGGCAGGTGGTCAGGTACAGTCAGACTCTGGGCAGGTGGTCAGGTACAGTCAGACTCTGGGCAGGTGGTCAGGTACAGTCAGACTCTGGGCAGGTGGTCAGGTACAGTCAGACTCTGGGCAGGTGGTCAGGTACAGTCAGACTCTGGGCAGGTGGTCAGGTACAGTCAGACTCTGGGCAGGTGGTCAGGTACAGTCAGACTCTGGGCAGGTGGTCAGGTACAGTCAGACTCTGGGCAGGTGGTCAGGTACAGTCAGACTCTGGGCAGGTGGTCAGGTACAGTCAGACTCTGGGCAGGTGGTCAGGTACAGTCAGACTCTGGGCAGGTGGTCAGGTACAGTCAGACTCTGGGCAGGTGGTCAGGTACAGTCAGACTCTGGGCAGGTGGTCAGGTACAGTCAGACTCTGGGCAGGTGGTCAGGTACAGTCAGACTCTGGGCAGGTGGTCAGGTACAGTCAGACTCTGGGCAGGTGGTCAGGTACAGTCAGACTCTGGGCAGGTGGTCAGGTACAGTCAGACTCTGGGCAGGTGGTCAGGTACAGTCAGACTCTGGGCAGGTGGTCAGGTACAGTCAGACTCTGGGCAGGTGGTCAGGTACAGTCAGACTCTGGGCAGGTGGTCAGGTACAGTCAGACTCTGGGCAGGTGGTCAGGTACAGTCAGACTCTGGGCAGGTGGTCAGGTACAGTCAGACTCTGGGCAGGTGGTCAGGTACAGTCAGACTCTGGGCAGGTGGTCAGGTACAGTCAGACTCTGGGCAGGTGGTCAGGTACAGTCAGACTCTGGGCAGGTGGTCAGGTACAGTCAGACTCTGGGCAGGTGGTCAGGTACAGTCAGACTCTGGGCAGGTGGTCAGGTACAGTCAGACTCTGGGCAGGTGGTCAGGTACAGTCAGACTCTGGGCAGGTGGTCAGGTACAGTCAGACTCTGGGCAGGTGGTCAGGTACAGTCAGACTCTGGGCAGGTGGTCAGGTACAGTCAGACTCTGGGCAGGTGGTCAGGTACAGTCAGACTCTGGGCAGGTGGTCAGGTACAGTCAGACTCTGGGCAGGTGGTCAGGTACAGTCAGACTCTGGGCAGGTGGTCAGGTACAGTCAGACTCTGGGCAGGTGGTCAGGTACAGTCAGACTCTGGGCAGGTGGTCAGGTACAGTCAGACTCTGGGCAGGTGGTCAGGTACAGTCAGACTCTGGGCAGGTGGTCAGGTACAGTCAGACTCTGGGCAGGTGGTCAGGTACAGTCAGACTCTGGGCAGGTGGTCAGGTACAGTCAGACTCTGGGCAGGTGGTCAGGTACAGTCAGACTCTGGGCAGGTGGTCAGGTACAGTCAGACTCTGGGCAGGTGGTCAGGTACAGTCAGACTCTGGGCAGGTGGTCAGGTACACTCAGACTCTGGGCAGGTGGTCAGGTACAGTCAGACTCTGGGCAGGTGGTCAGGTACACTCAGACTCTGGGCAGGTGGTCAGGTACAGTGTCAGACTCTGGGCAGGTGGTCAGGTACAGTCAAACTCTGGGCAGGTGGTCAGGAACAGTGTCAGACTCTGGGTAGGTGGTCAGGTACAGTGTCAGACTCTGGGCAGGTGGGCAGGTACAGTCAGACTCTGGGCAGGTGGGCAGGTACAGTCAGACTCTGGGCAGGTGGGCAAGTGGTCAGGTACAGTCAGACTCTGGGTAGGTGGTCAGGTACAGTCAGACTCTGGGAAGGTAGTCAGGTACAGTCAGACTCTGGGCAGGTGGTCAGGTACAGTCAGACTCTGGACAGGTGGTCAGGTACAGTCAGACTCTGGGTAGGTGGTCAGGTACAGTCAGACTCTGGGCAGGTGGTCAGGTACAGTGTCAGACTCTGGGCAGGTGGTCAGGTACAGTCAAACTCTGGGAAGCTGGTCAGGTACAGTCAGATTCTGGGCAGGTGCGGTTCTTCTTCTTTGAGTTAGCTGCTAACAATCATAGGGAGGAATCACTGGAAGTACTGCTGTTAGTGAAAGTACACAGTCACAGTAAACAGGAAGTACTTGAAAACTGTACTGGGAGCAGTGCTACAGTACTTCCTGAGAGTACTGTAGTAATAGTGTACTCTTTTGTGCTATTAATAAGTAGCGTGTCTTCTCTCTGACATCTGATTGGCTGACTACTTTTATCTTCCTCTTACCCTGTGGATGAGGAGGGTCTCTGTGGAACTCTGCTCTCATTGGTCCCTGCTGGTCACATGACTCAGCATTGCATGACAGTAAGTGTGTGTGTGTGTGTGTGTGTGTGTGCGTGTGTGTGTGTGTGTGTGTGTGCGTGCGTGTGTGTGTGTGCGCGCAGACTGCAGGGGAATCACTGCAGCTCTCGACACACACACAGTGCTGATGTCGTGACTATGATGTTTCAGTCAGAGCCTCAGTTACTCAAAGATTCATCATCATTACAGATACAACAGCCTCAGAGTCGCCAACCTAATCTGTTACAGTTTATTACATTATATTATACTTACATTATATTTCCGTATATTTGTACCGCGATCAGCAGAATAATTAAACCCTCTGACGGGTGAATAGCATTGATCATCTCGTTACAATCCAATGTTCCTCTGAGAATCCTTTGGTCCTGATAGTCATGTGGACGACACCTGACAGGCTACCCTAACACTGTTAGAGACCCAGTACCCCCCCTTGTGGTAACATCACTCCCTGATGGTGGTGCAGAATGTTTCAAAGAGCTCAAGGTGTCAACCCATTGTCACCATCGACAACTCACATGTGCACAGCCATTGGCGCCGTCAAGGGGGGGGGGGCACGGCCTCCAGGTGTGATAAGTACTTGGTTCCATAGCCTAGGTCTATTATGAGGAGCCCGACCTGTCCAAGCCTGAGGATAAGGGCGGAAAATTACGGCCCAACCCGGCCCACGGGTCGGGCTCAGGCAGAGAATCTAAGCTCTAATCCACGGTCCGGCCTCCTTGGATCAGTTTTGTCTCTGACCTGTAGAGACATTGACACAGATCCTCTTCAGGCATCCTGGGTTGCCTGGCAGCAGGGCGTTGGCGGTGGATCCTCTGAGTCCTGTAGATTGGGAGGTGGAGTATCAGCACATCCCACAGATGCTCCATCAGATCTGATGAATGTGGAGGTCAGGTTGACACCTCGAGCTCTCGGTCACCTTCCTCAACAGTTTTTATGGTGTGAGATGTTATGGTGTGAGAGATATTCATTCATTTATATTCATTTACTACATCACCAGGCACTCATTTAATTTTATTTACTATATCACCAGTTGCTCATTAAACTTTATTTACTGCGTCATCAGGTACTCATTTAACTTTATTTACTACAACATCAGGTACTCATTAAACTTTATTTACTACATCACCATGTACTCATTAAACTTTATTTACTACATCACCAGGTACTCATTAAACTTTATTTACTACATCACCAGGTACTCATTTAACTTTATTTACTACATCACCAGTTGCTCATTAAACTTTATTTACTACATCACCAGGTACTCATTTAACTTTATTTACTACATCACCAGTTGCTCATTAAACTTTATTTACTACATCACCAGTTGCTCATTAAACTTTATTTACTACATGACCAAGTACTCATTTAACTTTATTTACTATATCACCAAGTACTCATTTAACTTTATTTACTACATCACCAGGTACTCATTAAACTTTATTTACTACATCACCAGGTACTCATTAAACTTTATTTACTACATCACCAGGTACTCATTTAACTTTATTTACTACATCACCAGGTACTCATTAAACTTTATTTACTACATCACCAGGTACTCATTTAACTTTATTTACTACATCACCAGTTGCTCATTAAACTTTATTTACTACATCACCAGTTGCTCATTAAACTTTATTTACTACATGACCAAGTACTCATTTAACTTTATTTACTATATCACCAAGTACTCATTTAACTTTATTTACTACATCACCAGGTACTCATTAAACTTTATTTACTACATCACCAGGTACTCATTAAACTTTATTTACTACATCACCAGGTACTCATTTAACTTTATTTACTACATCACCAGGTACTCATTAAACTTTATTTACTACATCACCAGGTACTCATTAAACTTTATTTACTACATCACCAGGTACTCATTAAACTTTATTTACTACATCACCAGGTACTCATTAAACTTTATTTACTACATCACCAGGTACTCATTAAACTTTATTTACTACATCACCAGGTACTCATTAAACTTTATTTACTACATCACCAGGTACTCATTAAACTTTATTTACTACATCACCAGGTACTCATTAAACTTTATTTACTACATCACCAGGTACTCATTAAACTTTATTTACTACATCACCAGGTACTCATTAAACTTTATTTACTACATCACCAGGTACTCATTAAACTTTATTTACTACATCACCAGGTACTCATTAAACTTTATTTACTACATCACCAGGTACTCATTAAACTTTATTTACTACATCACCAGGTACTCATTAAACTTTATTTACTACATCACCAGGTACTCATTAAACTTTATTTACTACATCACCAGGTACTCATTAAACTTTATTTACTACATCACCAGGTACTCATTAAACTTTATTTACTACATCACCAGGTACTCATTAAACTTTATTTACTACATCACCAGGTACTCATTAAACTTTATTTACTACGTCACCAGGTACTCATTAAACTTTATTTACTACGTCACCAGGTACTCATTAAACTTTATTTACTACATCACCAGGTCCTCATTTAACTTTATTTACTACATCACCAGTTGCTCATTAAACTTTTTTTACTACGTCATCAGGTACTCATTTAACTTTATTTACTACATCACCAGGTACTCTTTTAATTTTGATTATTACATCATCAGGTACTCAAACCTCATTTACTACGTCACCATGTACTCATTTGACTTTATTTACTACATCACCAGGTGCTCATTGAACTTTATTTAACTTTATTTACTACATCATTAGGTACTCATTTAATTTTGATTATTACATCATCAGGTACTCATTAAACTTTATTTACTACGTCACTAGGTACTCATTAAACTTTATTTACTATGTCATTAGATACTCATTTAACTTCATTTACTACATCATCAGGTACTCAAACCTCATTTACTACGTCACCAGATACTCATTTAATTTTGATTATTACATTTTCAGGTACTCATCAAACTTAATTTACTACGTCATCAGGTACTAAACTTCTGCTTTCCTCCTCTTCCTTCTCGTCTCTCAGAGACTTCCTCCCTCGTGGTTCTGGTATTGTCACTCGACGCCCCCTGGTGCTGCAGCTCATCAACTGTCCAACAGGTGAGACTTTAAACAGGTTTAATTATATGATGTCATGTTTATTCTGTGACCATGAACCTGGTCATGTGACAGATCATGTGACTGATGATGTGATGTGTGTGGATCAGAGTACGCAGAGTTCCTGCACTGTAAAGGGAAGAAGTTCACTGACTTTGATGAAGTTCGTCAAGAGATCGAAGCTGAAACTGATCGAGTCACCGGACAGAACAAAGGAATCAGTCCAGTCCCCATAAACCTGCGAGTCTACTCCCCCAACGGTAACACATACACACACGATCACACATACACACTTTTCATGTGTACATGTGGAGGTTTGTATGTGAAGCAGTCATATAACCTGCTTTGTGTTTGTGATGTCAGTGTTGAACCTTACTCTGGTGGATCTTCCCGGGATGACGAAGGTACCGGTCGGCGACCAGCCGGCCGACATCGAGCACCAGATCAGAGACATGCTCATGCAGTTTGTCACCAAGGACAATTGCCTCCTGTTGGCTGTTTCCCCCGCCAACTCTGACCTCGCCAACTCCGACGCTCTCAAAATCGCCAAGGAAGTAGACCCACAAGGTGAGAGTCCTCTATATCTCCTACACCTCCCACACCTCCTAGACCTCCTACACCTTTAACACTTCATACATCCTCTACATCTCATACACTCTCTGCCCTTAACATGTTTGTCTGTGTTTCCGTCCATGCTTGTAATGATGTTGGTGGTTTAAATGAAGTCTTTTGAATGTGTGTGTTCAGGTCTGAGGACCATCGGTGTGATCACCAAACTGGATCTGATGGATGAAGGAACCGATGCCAGAGACATTCTGGAGAACAAACTGCTCCCACTGCGCCGAGGTAAGATGGAAACCTTTTAAAAAGCAGCAATATGAAATGTTCTTCACCATTACTGAAACGTGAAAAGGTGCTGATGAGACAGGAAACAGTCAGAAACAGGAAACAAACAAGAAACAGTCAGAAACAGGAAACAGAAACAGGAAACAGTCAGAAACAGAAAACAGTCAGAACTCCAGAAACACTTCATTATAAAACATAAATCTGGACGTGATCAGCAGAGCAGTGAGAGTCAGTGATGATGAATGAGAGTGGACCCAGGATTGAACCCTGAGAAACTCCACTGGTCAGACTACATAAACAGAAAGATATCACCACCTGTTCTAAATCAGTGATGAAGGTAGATTCATCTCCAGGTAACCATAGCAACAGTGCTGCAGTAGAGACAGTCATGGACTCCCAGGTGTCCTCACAGAAACGATGAGACACTCTGACCTGTCTCAGGTTACATTGGGGTGGTGAACCGCAGTCAGAAGGACATCGATGGGAGGAAAGACATAAACGCAGCTCTGCAGGCCGAGAGGAAATTCTTCTTGTCGCACCCGTCATACCGACACCTGGCTGACCGCATGGGCACTGCCTACCTGCAGAAAATCCTCAACCAGGTACCTGAACAAATCATGTGGCTCGTGTTTCCTACCTGTGTCTCTGTGGGTCAGAACACTGAGATGAAATATATGGTCAGTGATAATCTGTTCTCTGCTCCCTCTGCAACCATAGTAACAGATTATTTCTCTGTTCCCCTAGCAACTGACCAACCACATCCGGGACACTTTGCCGGCGTTACGCAGCAAGCTTCAGAGCCAGCTGCTGTCCATCGAGAAGGAGGTGGAGGAGTACAAGAACTTCAGACCGGACGACCCGAGCCGCAAGACCAAGGCCCTGTTGCAGTCTGTACTACACACTCATATTACACACTCATACTACACACTGATACGTACTGACACGTGTGTGTGTGTGTCAGGATGGTGCAGCAGTTCGCTGTGGACTTCGAGAAGCGGATCGAAGGATCTGGAGATCAGGTCGACACCTACGAGCTGTCAGGAGGAGCCAAGATCAACCGAATCTTCCATGAACGCTTCCCCTTCGAACTGGTCAAGGTAACACACACACACACACACACACACAGATGTGAGGGACGGCTGTGCTGTGTTGACTCAGAAATATCAGACAGGATATGATCCAGCCCGTGTGCACAGCAGCAGGAAGTTGGACATATCAGGTGTTTTCAAAGTGAACAGTGACTCCTGACAGGAAGTCACTGTTCACTTTGAGGAGCTCCCCGTCAGAATGACACACCTGTTTGTATTCATACAGCTGACAGGAACACTGACATGACATCTTGTACACCGCCGCCGGTGGCTTGTGTAGCAATATCACCTCACCTTTGACGAGGCAAAATCTCATTGTATTTCCTCTGTCACATCTCTGCTCAGTGAAGCCTGGACGTCACCGTCACTCCATGTCAATTCAATCAATTTCATTTATAAAGCCCAATATCACAAATCACAATTTGCCTCACAGGGCTTTACAGCATACGACATCCCTCTGTCCTTATGACCCTCACAGCTGATCAGGAAAAACTCCCCAAAAAACTCTTTAACGGGGAAAAAAAAATGGTAGAAACCTCAGGAAGAGCAACTGAGGAGGGATCCCTCTTCCAGGACGGAGAGACGTGCAATAGATGTCGTACAGAACAGATCAGCATAATAAATTAACAGTAATCCGTATGACACAATGAGACAGAGAGAGAGAGAGAGAGAGAGAGAGAGATGCAGGTAATGACAGTAGCTTACAACAACATTAATGAAAGTAATAATATTATAGTTATAGTTCTGGCTACTGTGGTACAATATGTTGAAAGTATGTATTAATATCAGACAGTATACTTGTGTGACAATAGTCATATGTGTATAATAACAGTAGAAGTATGACTAATGACTAATGATGGCAGCAGCAGCAGGAGGCATCTGGCAGGACCACGGCAGCAGCACAACCACACACGTCACACTGTCCAGGCACCGCTGCGGTATGAGTTATTCTGAGAGACAGTGGAGCACAAAGGCTCCGGAGAAGAAGCCGAGTTAGTGACATCCAGAATGGCCGAGTTAGCAAGATGCAGTAATAGGATGAGAGTGAGAGAGAGAGAGAGAGAGAGAGAGAGAGAGAGAGAGAGAGAGAGAGAGAGGGAGAGAGAGGGAGCCCGGTGTATTATAGGGGGTCCTCCGGCAGACTAGGCCTAAGTCAGCCTAACTAGGGGCTGGTACAGGGCAAGCCTGAGCCAGCCCTAACTATAAGCTTTATCAAAGAGGAAAGTCTTAAGTCTAGTCTTAAATGTGGAGACGGTGTCTGCCTCCCGGACCGTAACAGGAAGATGATTCCACAGGAGAGGAGCCTGATAGCTGAAGGCTCTGGCTCCTGATCTACTTTTGGAGACTTTAGGGACCACGAGTAACCCTGCGTTCTCAGAGCGCAGTGTTCTGGTGGGATAATATGGCACTATGAGCTCTCTAAGATATGACGGAGCTTGACCATTTAGAGCTTTATAAGTTAACAGTAGGATTTTAAATTCAATTCTGGATTTTACAGGGAGCCAGTGCAGAGAAGCTAAAACAGGAGAAATATGATCTCGTTTCTTAGTTCCTGTTAGTACACGTGCTGCTGCATTCTGAATTAGCTGGAGAGTTTTTAAGGACTTACTAGAGCTACCTGATAATAGAGAGTTACAGTAATCCAGCCTAGAGGTAACAAAAGCGTGGACCAATTTTTCTGCATCTTTTCGGGTCAGGATAGGCCTAATTTTCGCAATATTACGCAGATGAAAAAATGCAGTCCGTGAGGTTTGTTTTAAATGAGAATTAAAAGACAAATCTTGATCAAATATTACTCCGAGGTTTCTTACGGTAGTGCTAGAGGCCAGAGCAATGCCATCTAGAGAAACTATGTCATCAGATAAAGAGTCTCTGAGTTGTTTGGGGCCAAGAACAATAACTTCAGTTTTGTCTGAATTTAACATCAGGAAATTGGTGCTCATCCAAGTTTTTATGTCTTTAAGGCAGTTATGGAGTTTAGTTAATTGATTACTTTCTTCTGGCTTCATCGATAAATACAACTGAGTATCATCCGCATAACAATGGAAATTTATAGAGTGATTTCTAATGATGTTACCTAAAGGAAGCATATATAGAGTAAATAGGATTGGTCCGAGCACAGAACCTTGCGGAACTCCAAAACAAACTTTGGTACGTAAGGATGATTCATTATGAACGTCAACAAACTGAAAACGATCAGATAAATAAGATTTAAACCAGCTTAGTGCAGAACCTTTTAGGCCAATTAAGTGATCCAGTCTCTGCAGTAGAATTTGATGGTCAATTGTGTCAAACGCCGCACTAAGATCTAATAAAACAAGTACAGAGACAAGTCCTTTGTCTGAAGCAATCAGAAGGTCATTTGTAATTTTAACTAGTGCTGTCTCAGTGCTATGATGCACTCTAAATCCTGACTGAAATTCCTCAAATAAATTATTATCATGGAGAAAATCACACAGCTGGTCTGCGACTACTTTCTCAAGGATCTTTGACATAAAGGGAAGATTAGATATTGGTCTATAGTTGGCTAACACCTCTGGATCCAGGGTGGGCTTTTTTAGTAGAGGTTTAATTACAGCTACCTTAAAAGACTGTGGTACATAGCCTGTTAATAAGGATATATTGATCATATCTAATATATGAGTGTTAACTAAAGGAAAGACCTCCTTAAGTAGCCTAGTTGGGATGGGGTCTAAGAGACACGTTGATGATTTAGATGAAGAAATCACTGCTGTCAATTCTTGAAGAGAAATTGGGGAGAAGCAATCTAAATATATATTAGGTCTTACAGCTGTGTTTGAGGTTAGATAGGTACTATCTGAGGACAGGAGGTCATGAATTTTGCCTCTAATAGTTAGAATTTTGTCATTAAAAAAGCTCATAAGATCATTACTGCTAAGGGCTAAAGGAATACAAGGCTCATGTGTCTCGTATTGCTTTTAGTTTTTTGTTTCCGTTTTGTGCCATCTGTTGTCCTAACAGGGTTTCAAAAACGGCAGTTGTGGGTGCTGCATTGGGTCATGTGTGTGATCAATCAACATGCTCTGATGTCATCCAGGTTGATCATGTGCAGACAGAGTATGTCCTCTGAACCAGGAGCTAAATAACTGTGTTCTCAGATCCACAGTTGTTCCACTTCTGCAGTGAGGTTTCTTAGAACAATGGAAAAGTTCCTCTGGTCTGAAAGCACCGGTCTTGTTTCCATGGAGACGATCTGTCCACCCCAAAACAGAAGTAAATGTTATCAGTGATGAGCAGCTCTGTCTCTTGTCTGTTGGTAACAGAACATCTGATGGTAGACGGTTCAAAGTCGTGGACCTGCTGCAGGGGGCAGTCTGAGTCTGGGGGAATGTTAGTAACCACTCCTAGTAGGGCTGAGCGGTATTCGCAGTGACGGTAACTTACCGCAGTAAACATGAGCTGCGGTACTGCTTTTGTGGTTACCTTCATACTGCAGTACTCCGGCTACGGTGGCAGAACGGGGCACGGCGGCTGGCCTGCCTGCCTGCCTGCCTCACGCACCTCCCTAGCTCAAGATGGAGGTGGCCTGGCCGACCGCCCCAAACCCAGGCCCACGGGAGAAGGTCTCTTCCTCATCCTGGTGATGGGCACATCTGGGTGATGTTAAACGTGTGTTAGCATGTTGGTAGTGTTTCCATTCACAGCCCCAACACACCGTCCTCTTCTTCTACACAGCTCTGTCTCTGTTGGTGTTGTAGCTGAGCAGGAACCTGTGGTCAGGTCTTCAAGCTCCGCCCTTTCATGTGTTTTCACCATGGTGTGACTGACTCACAGCCAATCAGCTTGTTGTGCTAACCTTAGCACATGTTGCTAATGGTGCACGCCGAAAAGTTTCAGGACAGAGTTTAGGTTCAACGTCACGTTTCCCGTGTGCAGCAGACTGTGACACCTCTGATGGTGACAGCTTAAGACGAATACACAAACAGTTACAGCCTGATGTGTTCAAACTGTCAGAGTGACTGTGTCACACGCCACCGCCAAACTCCACCCACATGTGGCGGGTACAGATATTGGGTCCTGGTAATGTGTTGTAAAGGTGACGACCAAAAATCAGCAAGTTTAACCTGTGTGTGTGTGTGTGTGTGTGTGTGTGCAGTTGGAGAGTGATGAGAAGACTCTTCGTAAAGAGATCAGCTACGCTATCAAGAACATCCACGGCATCAGGTGAGTGTCAGTCACAGTGTGTTCAGTTGTGCGCTACGTGTGTGTGTGTGTGTGTGTGTGTGTATGTATGTGTGTGTGTGTGTGTGTTCAGGTACCTGAGTGTGATGCCACCTGTGCTCTCTGTCCAGGACGGGTCTGTTCACACCCGACATGGCGTTTGAGACAATCGTGAAGCGTCTGATCGCTCAGATCAAAGAGCCATGTCAGAAATGTGTCGACCTGGTGATCAACGAGCTCGTCAACACCGTCAGGCAGTGCACTCAGAAGGTACCTCGACTAGAGTTTGGAAGTGTTGAGGGAAAATGGCCGACATGGTGTCCTCTATCAGGACATAATGGACTCTGTGGTAAACATTATGTCTTGATGATGACACCATGTCGGCCATTTTCTCTCTCACACCTCAGTCACCTATCAGACAAATTAAAATTCATTTATATTTTGACATTTTCTTCAGTTAAATCTAAAGTTCATTACCTGTTAACAGCTGAGGCTCTGACTAAGACCTGGAACAGTCATTTCCATCCCATAAGGTTCTCATGTACTTAAAAAATTGTTACAGGAAGTAGGACAAACCTCAGATAAACAGGAGACATATTTGAAGTCCAATCAGCTGTTAGCCTGAAAGCTAAATTCATGCTAACAAGATTCACAGTCAGAAACAAATGTTTAACAACAGGAGGACACGTGTCCCTGTCCCCAAATTAGTGTCAACATTTTAACAAACTATACGTCATCTGTAACGTTACTGAGGATGATGTCCTGAAACACCGAGGTCAACAGCCAGTGAGATGTGAGCTGACCTCTGGTGTCATACAGAGTATCAGTAAGTTCAGAGGGACAGTGTCCATCCTGTGGTGTCCAGAGGGACAGCATCCGCCCTGTGGTGTCCAGAGGGACAGCATCCACCCTGTGGTGTCCAGAGGGACAGAGGGACAGCATCCACCCTGTGGTGTCCAGAGGGACAGCATCCACCCTGTGGTGTCCAGAGGGACAGCATCCACCCTGTGGTGTCCAGAGGGACAGAGGGACAGCATCCACCCTGTGGTGTCCAGAGGGACAGCATCCACCCTGTGGTGTCCAGAGGGACAGCATCCACCCTGTGGTGTCCAGAGGGACAGAGGGACAGCATCCACCCTGTGGTGTCCAGAGGGACAGCATCCACCCTGTGGTGTCCAGAGGGACAGCATCCACCCTGTGGTGTCCAGAGGGACAGAGGGACAGCATCCACCCTGTGGTGTCCAGAGGGACAGCATCCACCCTGTGGTGTCCAGAGGGACAG